TAACACGGCGCAGGCAGGGGAGGGCACGGACACATCTGCGTGGAGCAAGCCTTGCCTGCGTGCCCATGCCACGCTGGCACCAGGGACCCCTTCACCACACCACGCATATTGGGCTCTCGCAGCCTGCAGGACATGCTCCCAGCCACACCACACCTCATCCCTGCTGCCAGGGGGTTCATTTAATTTGTGTTCCCCCGCCCTGCTCTGCCGTCCTTGTCCCCTGAGAGCCCCGATTCTGACAGCTCCCTTGCCCTCTCCCGTGGCAGCCCAGCTGCCAAGGGACCTGCCTAAATCACCTCTTGCTAATGCAAGAGCTCAATCAGCTGCTCAGAAGGTGTTTTACAAGGAAAAACAATAACAACATCTATCTGTTACAGCTGGGGAAACTAAGGCACACAAAGAGGTGCCTGAGAGTCCATTGGAATTAGAGGCAGGACAAAGCCAGGGCTCCCCCAGCTCCCAGTGTACGTGTCCTTACACATCCACAGCCCCCACCACCTCCCCCTCCCAGGAACAGCTGATGCCGTGTGCTGTTTGATAGAAAGCCAGCTAATCATCTTTCCCACCTTCGTTAGAGTGTGAATCGTTATCCGAGCGACACCTGTAAAGCTCCTTGTCAGACGAGGCTGATGCACACGTCTAATAATGGGCACCATATGGGAGAGGGAAAGCTCAGGAGAGGAGCAGGGGCTCGACCATCCCCATGCCGAACAAAGAGCAGCGCCTGACTGCTCCCCGTTGCAGCACAGCATCACCAGCACTGGGCCATCTGAAAGACCAGCAATGCTGTGCCATGGCAAGGGAAGAGCCCCAGCAGCGCCAGCGGTGGAGGAAGAGCCGCTGCTCGTGGTTCTAAACACCTCGATAACTCCCCAAGCAGCCCCTGCCCTTTGGGAAAAGATTTGACCAAAGCAAACCACAGCTTGAGCTTGTGGGTTAAAGCAGGGGAGCCATCAAGCTCTGCTCCCCTCAGCGTGCCCAAAGCCTGGGACTGGGCGCCCCAAATCCACTGTGGCACATCTCGCCATGCCTTGGAACATTCTCTCATCGCCAGCCTGGCTGAGGCCACCCACGGGTGCAGACAAAGCCTCTCAGGACCCACGGGTTACGCGGTGATGGGGAGGACACAGCGTGAATTAGAGATGGGTCCCTGAGTTGGGGCTGATCCAGAGTCCCCCAGACTCCTTCCCTGACCCCAAACTTGGGAGGCAGAGCTCAGCCCCTCCGCCAAGCCACCCCTTCAACGAAAGCCCCACTGCCTTTGACCCACGGCAATTACAAAGCCCCATTTTCAGGCCCCCATTCATCGCCAGGAGGATAATGAGCCTTCAGGCACCGTCAGTTGGGGGCAAAGCAATTAAAATCGCTGGCATGGCTGCCGCGTGGGTGGCTCTGTCGTTTGCTGCTGCCAGCGCCCATTTCGGGGCGAACGGGCAACACCAGGCCAGGCAGAGCCTCAAAGCACCGCGTCTCCCCGCAGGCGAACAATCGGCTTGTTCTTCGCCGGGTTAAAAGAATAATAAAATAAAATAAAGAGGGTATAAAGGCCCCAGTAAAACTGGGAGTCAAGTTTATTTACAAACTGAATATGAAGTGAAGGGCCTGGAACAAAGGTGTTATGTAAGGGACAGTCACTAAGGGGCTCTTTACCCACGCTAATTGCCACTTGCTCCACCGTACCCATTTATCTTGCAGCTGAAATGGCTTCCTCAGCCTTGCAGGTTCAAGAACTGCTTGTTTGCAATGCTGCCTGGCACAATTAGCACACAGGAGCAGTGGCTGCTGCAGTCCCACCACCCAAATCCACAGGGAAACCTCATGCCTCCCCAAAAAGCAGGATCATGCCTGGAGCAACTGGATGTGCTGGCGTGCAGGCTTGGTAGGGAGAGATGCTGCTCTGGCTCTGCGTGGGGCTTCAGGGTTGGTTGTCTAACAGGGAGGGACAACGGGGCTCAGTTCTGCTGGAGAAGACCTTCAAGTCCCTGCATCAAGCCTACCCGAGCGGTGATGTGCAGCAAACCATCACAGGAGCAGCTGCAAGAGCGATAGCGAATGGCTGTGAAAGGAGAGCGAGACCTGGAAAGGATGGATGAACCTGCTGCTCGCGATGATATCCGAGTGCTCCGGCTGGGAACTGCCCTTAGATGCAAAAGGCCGAAGGGCAGAGATTAGTAATAAACAAAACCAAC